AAGAGGTGGTTGCCCTTAGCCCCCCTGAATACGCCTCTGGATAATAACATAGATTTACAAACATATTTCGGAATGGAGTGAGATTTCAAAGAACAGAACTAAGCAGTTTTAAAGATAAATTCCTTTGAATTAGAAGTGCCAGGCAAAATCAATGAGTTGATTAAGCGACTATATAGTATTTACATATAAACTATAACAGACAAACACACAAAAGTTTTTGATTTTTAATAATGAAAATGTTGATCTAAGATCTAAAGACGACATTTACATGAGTCTTTAGTCTATTTTTTCTAGTCTTTACTATCCAAAAGAAATCTTTTCAAACCAAATAAAACCTTATGAGCCCAACCTGTCGTCGTTGCCTTAGTCTGTTCCACTTTAGTATTTATTCACTTTGAGATTTGGTAAGATTTTTTTTCAGATTTCGACAGATTTGTGTGAAACAATCTTTGACTTTATCCCGTTTTTTTTACCCACCCTGGATGCGTATTTGAGATTTATAAAATGAAGATAACACTCTTATTGTCAGTTAGTTGGATTTTGACACTCAACATGTTAAGATTTCTGATTTTCATTTCATTGTTTAGTTCTCTAATATGTCAAAAAAACCCTCCTAACATTCTCTTCATACTAGCAGATGACTTAGGTGATTTTTTGTGTACTCCATTTCTTTTTATAATAAGGGTGAAAATAGGTGATAATTTTTTGTTTCAATCAAATCCACCTTACACCAGATCCAGATCTAACGTTTTTTTGAAACAAAAAAAATCGACAATTTTAATTTTATAATTTTCAAACTCATTTTGTGTAAATAAAATTACTAATTTCGTCAAAATAAATCAAGATGGGTATAAACATATCTGTCTATTGAAACTCTGAGTTCATATAATAATAATAATAATAATAAATAACAACCTGCGTATTGCTGTATTTAAAGGGAGTGTTTGCGAAAAATGAAAGGGGGTCCGGCTTACGGCGATAAATAATCGCTTTTGATCGCTATCTGTTGCGTCTATAATGAGAAAATTGTTAAAAACGTCTCATACCCGCGAAGAATATAGATTCCTTACAAATTCAGAAAGATGCAACATACGACTCGGATCGTAACAAAATCAATTTAATACCAAACAAAGCATTCAGATATTACAACTTATAGTCATCGATTATTTTTCGACGCATTCGTAGTTAATAGTTAATATTTCAGAATATTTTTACTTTTTATGATCTGAGAGTGACTTTTGAAAACATTCATTCCTGTTTCGAGGATTTTGATAATGAAGACGACATTTTCCATATTTTCCGGGAATGCGCCAGTCGTGAAAACAAGTTGTAAGTAAAATATTAATTTTAAAAAACACAAAATAAAAAATATTATGAAATATAAAAATAATCGATGACTATAGGATTTAATATCTAAATTATTTCTTTAATATTAATTTGATTTTTTTACGATCCAAGTCGTATGTTCCAACTTCCTCAATTTGTATGAACGCTTCGTTCTTCGGTATGAGACGTTTTTAACAATTTTCTCCATATAGACGCAACAGATAGAAGTAAGATTAGTAGCGATTAGAAGCGATTATTTACCGCCGTATGATACCCATTTCATTTTTCGCGAACATTCCCTTTAAAGTTGTTTAAGCCGGTCACCATGAATTATAAAATAATTATGTTTTGTTCATTTATTATGAAAATTCAGCACTAACAACTTTGCTTTATTTAAAGTAAAATTCGAACTTTAAAGTAAGTTTAATGATTAAGAATGGGAAACCTTTGTACTGTAAATAAAAGGTATGTAAAAAAAGGCAATTTCTACGGGTATCAAACTTTTAATTCCTAATTTGTTTTCATTGAGTTTGCAGTTTAGGGTAAAAGCACAGGAATTTCCCTATGTAATTTTCTGATGAGTGTCCATTCAATTATTGGTCTCATTTGTTTTCCTGTCATTTTTTTCTAAATGAGGTTTCCCATCATTACCGAAATTTTCCCTAAAATATCAACATTTTCCGGTTGATAACAGAACCAGTCCTGGCTGACTCCACCCTTGGTAATATTGGTTCTATCAAGGGAACTATGTATCCTGGAATAACCCGAAAGTGCATATGCCAAACCTGGATAATATTGATTCTATCAAGGGAACTATGTATCCTGGAATAACCCGGAAGTGCATATGCCAAACCTAGATAATATTGGCTCACTCTAGGTAGGAACTATGTATTCTGGAATAACCCGGAAGAGCATATGCCAAACCTGGATAATATTTGTTGTATCTAGGTTGGAACGATGCATGCAGGAATAAACCGGAAGTGCATATGCCAAACCTGGATAATATTGGTTCTATCTAGGTTGGAACGATGTATCCTGGAATAAACCGGAAGTGCACATGCCAAACCTGGATAATATTAGTTCTATCTAGGTTGGAACGATGTATCCTGGAATAAACTGGAAGTGCATATGCCAAACCTGGATAATATTAGTTCTATCTAGGTTGGAACTATGTATGCTGGAATAAACCGGAAGTTCATATATCAAACCTGGATAATAATGGTTCTATCTAGGTTGGAACGATGTATCCTGGAATAACCCGGAAGTGCATATGCCAAACCTAGATAATTTAGCCAGACAAGGACTTATCTTAAACAATAATTATGTACAACCAACTTGCGGACCCTCCAGGTAATGATTAAAGGGATTGTTTACTTTTTTCATAACATCAACTTTTTGTTAGGAATACAATTAAGCCTTTCTAATGATTAAAAAAATATCCTGAGTACTAAATTGATAGAATGCATGAAAAATAGTTTTTTTTTGATACTTGCAGCAGGACTTTATTTTTGACTCAGATGCATTTCTAAAAACTAAGAGTTATGACAAAAATTAGCTAACAAAGGCATCGGTACTTTATAATGATGATAATGATGATAATGATGATAATGATGATAATGATGATAATGATGATAATGATGATAATGATGATAATGATGATAATGATGATCATGATGAAAGTAATGATAATATCCTCCGGATCGATCTAACACTTCCAAATCAAAATACTTCAAAATAAGCTTCTATCATTATACTTATGCTGAGATTAGTAAATATAAATTTAGAGAGTTAGAGAGTTACCTACAAATGATGAGACTGTAAAGACGACATAAAACTCTTAAAATATGACGATCTCAATGTTAAATAGCTCATTAAATGATAAATCAAAGATAGAAACAAGTTTACAGTTGCAAGGGATCCTGAATATGATAAACTGACATTATAAAAATATGTACAGTCGTCTCTGAAGTCTCATAATTTGTGAGTAACCCTGTACTTAAAAAAGTAGTCACAGTAACTAATATATTTTTTCAGTATTTAAAGACACTTGGATATAACACTCATGCTGCTGGGAAATGGCATTTAGGTATTTTACATTTTAAACATGATTTTTTTCTGATTATCAATTTGGGTAATTGAACGATCCTGGGGGNATGGGGGGGGGATTTCTTTTCCTTGTATTTGATTTTTAACAATGGATTGAAAACAAATTTTGGCTACGCGGTGCCATTTTTCAGTGAAAATTTTGTCCATTTGGAACAAGGAGTATGGAATCTATTCCATACTCCTTGATTTGGAATTAATTTTTCTTCCCGGGCAAATTTTAAAATGGGGCATAAGATTCCCTCGGCCAACCCATACCCAATGTCAGTATTTTGACAAAAATACCTGCATAAAATTCCAGGCGGGGGGGGGGAGATATTTTTTGCCAGGGAGGGATGGATTAAAAAATTAGTGCGCTGCGCGCTTCCCTACTGGAAAGTATTTTCTGAACTATTTTGTAATTCTTTAGATTTATTAAATCGATTGGTTTAAATAGTTTGATGTTAGGTTACTGTAACACTGAATATCATCCTACAAGCCGAGGGTTCGACTCCTTTCAGGTCAACAAACCTTAGTAAAAGGCGAGTTTAAAGCAGGAAACTTTTGAACGGAAAGAATGAAATAAACTCGGTCTCTGGGAGTTACAAGGTGTCCCACAAAATATGACAGTTGGTAAATAGTTTTGAATGTCGTCTTCCATACACTGTATTAGATATTAAAGACTGTTTGCAGTTTATTTCGTTTAAAAAATCTTTCGCTCAAGTATATTTTACATTGAAATTAATTTTACTACAATATGACTCCTAAATAATATTTTTATTATTGTCTTTGGTATTAAACAGCTTAACAAATTATGGAAGAAAACATTCTTAGCTATTTACCAACTGTCATGTTTCGTGGTACACCCTGTAAAACTCTAATCTGTTCTTTAATCCTGGTTTTGCATTCGTCTTAGTGTTGAATGTATGTAGGCCGAATATTCAATTCAACCTGAATTTAAATTTCAGTATTAAAGTTAAAGAGTTTAGGTTGTATTTAGCTCAACTCCATCTCATATAAAAGTTCCCAGTTGTGTTGAATAAACAAACTAACAAGGAAACATTAATTTCATTCCAACCCCTTAGCAGATATTCAAAAATACGCGGCCGTGAAGGATGTTTAACTTCTGATAAAAAAATATTGAAGTAATTTTTATTAAATATATCTAAACAATTTGTCAGGATAATTATTATTAATTAATTAATTTATATCAATAAATATAGAATTGTAATTTCATGTCAGCTTTTATTTAAAGGGAGTGTTCGCGAAAAATGAAAGCCTATACCCCCTTTAATTTTTCGCGAACACTCCCTTTCAAGAATACAATGCCCGATTAACAACGCTACCCAACAAAGCTTTGTCTTGTCAATGATCATTGTCAGAATTCAACCCTTTTAAACCTTGAAAAACAACTATATCTTCCACACCATTAATCAGATAAAGATTGCGATGGTACTGTTGTGAATCGCGCCATCTTTGCATGGAGGGTCACTTTAAATAACGAGTATGCAGTCCCAGTTTAATAAAAAAAGATAAAAAAAATAATTGAGTTTGTTGGCAATCTGAGGTCACAGCTGGTCCCGATCTGTTCAGCTGTTTTGACGTTTATCTTTATATGTATATACTTTGCTTGTCTGTCTGTTTTTTGGTTTGTTTGTATCCATAAACGTCAAAACGGCTGAACCGATTGGGCCCAAAATTTGTGTGAAAAATCACATGAAATCAAGTTTATGGATGATCAAAATTTAAAAAAATTAGCCACCAACAAAGTTAGATTTTCACATAAATTTTAAAAATCCACTTCATTCTTTTAGATCAGTGAACTTTTTTGTTTGGTTTTGTTTTACAATTTATACAAAGAGAACATGTTCACAATTAAAATAGAAGATTGGCGCGAAACGCCCTAAATGCTATTTAAATACAAACAAACAGACAAGCAAAGTATATATATATATATATATATATATGTAGGAACTCACCAAAAAGATTGTAATTATATCTGTAGGGTTTATGGACTGGAGCAGGTGATCATTATCAACATATAACTATTGCTGATCCCAATACACCAACATCTATCGGATATGATTATCATGAGGTTTGTATGTACAGCGTGTTTTCCATGTCCATAGGCGGTTTCAGGGGGGGGGGCACTCCTTACCCCCTGTGAGTGAAATTAGGGGGGGTGTACCACACCCCTCTCTGGATTTTTACAAAGTCATTACTCCGAAGGCTTTTGTCCTGGAGCCTATTCTATTAATATCCTAGTAATAATAGCAGGAAATAAAAGAATTTCTCACTATATTACAATAATATGAAGGAAAATATAGTATCGTAAATCTTGGAGTCGCGCCCTTGTCTACGTCTTTTAAGACTATTGAATGATTTTCTGGAAGACGACATTAAGAAACTGTATTTTTAGTTTTAATAATATATGTACATCCAAGCTTTTTTCCCAAAACATCTGTTCTTCGTGATCGAATTCTGAATTGGGAACTTTACTTTACATGTATATTTAGCATTCATTAATTTCAAATCTGTATTTAACATTCATTAATTTCAAATCTATATTTAACATTCATTAATTTCAAATCTATATTTAACATTCATTAATTTCAAATCTATATTTAACATCATTATAATTTCAAATCTGTATTTAACATTTATTACTTTCAAATCTGTATTTAACATTTATTATAATTTTAAATCTATATTTAACATTCATAATAATTTCAAATCTGTATTTAACATTAATTAATTTCAAATCTATACATTTATTACTTTCAAATCTATATTTAACATTCATTAATTTCAAATGTATATTTATTATTTATTACTTTCAAATCTATATTTAGCATTCATTAATTAATTTCAAATCTATATTTAACATTCATTAATTTCAAATCTATATTTAACATGCATTATAATTTCAAATCTGTATTTAACATTTATTACTTTCAAATCTGTATTTAACATTTATTATAATTTTAAATCTATATTTAACATTCATAATAATTTCAAATCTGTATTTAACATTAATTAATTTCAAATCTATACATTTATTACTTTCAAATCTATATTTAACATTCATTAATTTCAAATGTATATTTATTATTTATTACTTTCAAATCTATATTTAGCATTCATTATAATTTCAAATCTATGTATAACATTTATTACTTTTAAATCTATATTTAACATTCATTATAATTTCAAATCTGTATTTAACAATTATTAATTTTAAACCTGTAGGGTGAAGAAGTAGACCTTGGAGTATTTAACACAGTAACCTCAACAGTAATAAGTAACAGAATAAGGTAATAATAATTCTATCAGTAATAACTTTTTTTATTCAATTACTGACTAATCTAGTAGACTTCGTATTTCTCTTTGTTTAGTTTTATTCTCGACTTCTTGCGGATAAATAAAAAGAATTTTTTTTGTAGAAAAATTTAAAAATTGCAAAAAAATGTAACACGTTATAGAGATAAAACATGCGACACAATCATAATAATAATATTAATCTTGATAATAATTATAAAAAATAATAATAATAATAATAAAAATGATAGTAATTATAATAGTAATAAAAAAGATGATAATAATAATAATAATAATAATAATAATAATAATAATAATAATAGCCGATGATATAATTCCTGATGATAAATTTCAATTGATCTTTAGTTCCCTGTTGGCTGAAAGAATAGAGCCTACTAAGGGTAGTTCTATGATAAACAACTATAATACCTCTAATCCATTCTTTATATATGCTGCATTCCAGGATGTTCACACACCCCTTCAGGTAACATAATATATATATACTGGGTGTCACGGACTTTTTTTTTATACATTACCAATTTGGTTGTTAGTTTATAACTTTTATAACTGGAGTTGGGCATTTTTAAAAATTTTATTATTATAAAAATTAGTTTCTTTTACAGAAAAGGCTCCAAAATTAACCTTTTTTTGGGACTCAATATCTATTAGAGTGATCTCATCTCTACCATATCTATTAGAGGATGATTAGGGGGATCTCATATCTAACAAATCTATTAGAGAGATCTCATATCTAACATTTCTATTAGAGGAATTTCATATCTACCATATCTATTAGAAAGATTTCATATCTTACATATCTATTAGAGAGATCTCATTTCTATCATATCTATTAGAAGGATATCATATGTAACATATCTATTAGAGAGATCACATTTCTAACATATCTATTAGAGAGATTTCATATCTACCATATCTATTAGAAAGATTTCATATCTAACATATCTATCAGAAAGATTTCATATCTTACATATCTGTTAGAGAGATCTCATTTCTACCATATCTATTAGAAAGATTTCATATCTGACATATCTATTAAAAGGATATCAAATGTAACATATTTATACATTTTTTTATTTTTAAGATCCTAAAGGTTTCAATTTGATATTCTTTAGATTGAGAAAGAATATGAAGATCTTTACCCTAACGAAGAAGACCCTGCAAGAAAAAAATTATTAGGTATTATTTTGATTGAGAATTGGAGAGAAAAGTTTTTATTTAATCTATACTAGCTGAAGGGCTCAGCGTTGCCCTGCCAAAAAATAGTAAAAAAATGTCAAATTTTTTTTGCCTTTTGCAACCCCCGGCCACCCATGAGTGTCCTCAAAAAATTTCATATTTACGAATGTCTTGTTTGATTATATAGATGTACATAAGCTCCTCTAATGCTGTATATAGCCCTGTAATGCCTGCAAATTACGCAGTTTTCGGAACTATAGCATTTATATTTGCCTTCGCCCTAAATGACGCACTTCCTACCCAGGTTCTCAACTCCCTGGCTCGGAACAGCTAATTACTTTTAGTTTTTTTTCAATTTGTCAAAGCGAAAAGGAGCTAACGCTGAATTTACCCACCCACCCTACCCTTGTTGACGGATAGCAACAAGATTCTCAATATGAATAAGCCCACTGGAATCAGTCGTTGACGGATATATATATTTCCCGATTACAACAGCAGACACACAACAGAATGAACCCCCGTCTCAAAAATCGATAACAAAGAATTCTCTTTATTTCCTGAAAAAAATACATATATGATAACGTGTACAAAATGTTTTAATGAATGTTTATAATGAAAAAATTCTTACGATCTAATAGCGGATGACAAAGGGGTTAACAATAGTTGGACAGTACTAAAAGACGTTTTAAACTTCTGAAATAAAATGACAATTAATTATTAACGAAAGTCACTAATTCTTTATATGAAAATATTCTTTGTTTAACTTTTTGAAAATGGATTCACAATGCGAGGTTGTTTATACTCCGACAGGGAGAACAAAGAACAAAGGGGGTTAAAATTGTTTGGTTTGGTGTCTCCGAGAGGTATTTAAGTTAAAGACGACTTTACACGGAGCCTATAGTTAATGGTTGACAACCCTGTATTCTTACAACCATATTTCATCAGTCGCCAATACTTAATTATCCAAATTGTTAAAAAAGGTATATCTACTTACCCCCCCCCCCCCTCAGTATATTTTTACCTAGCCTTACTACTATTTAGCTAATGGTAAAATAGAACAAGTATTTTTTGCGTAATTGGCGTGTACAATATATGACATATCTCGCGGAGAACTTTATGTTTCATTTTTAATCGAGTTGCAAAATCACAACACTTGGTGTCCCTGCTCATCTTTTAGAAACTAAAAGTATATTGTAGTAAAATAAAATATTTTAACTGAAATAAATTTTTCAGATTATAACAAGCATAGCAGAGTTTAGAAAATTTTCAAATTGAAATTTGTATTGTATTTCTCAACAATTCCCCTTTTTGGAATATCCATCTTTTAGATAAAGCAAGGAAAGAAGGTAAAATCTTTGCTCTATCACCGGTGGTACAACTTTGTGACCACGTAGCTTCTTTAGTTTTGATTTTTAAGCACAAGTATAAGAATTAAAGAAGTTACGATTAAAACATTTCAATCTTACGTCCAATTTACTTTTAATTTCACATAATTTTATTTCCAGGAATGGTATCACGGCTTGATGCAGCTGTTGGACGGATAGTGTCGGACCTGGAGAACATTTCATACAACAAGGACGGAGAGAGCAGAACTCTATTACAGGATACAGTTATAATATTTAGTTCAGATAATGGTGGTATGTCCCAGGGACTAGGGTATGGAGGGGCCTCTAATTATCCTCTCAATGGGCGGAAAGGGGACACCTACGAAGGAGGGTGCAGGTATTAAAGGGACTGTAAACATAATTTCAAGTGACCCTCTTTGCAAAGATGGAAATGTCCGATTCACAAGGGTACCCTTGAAACCTTTTTCTGATCAATAATGTGGTAGATGATGTCGTTTTTCTAGGTTTAGAAGTAATTAATTCTGATCTTTCCTATATGTTTTCCTGCAGTGGAAATGCGGAAACCATAATAGAAAAAAAGTTGTTTTCACCTTTTCAAGATGATAAACATTGATATCTAATTCAACTAGATCAGACAAAGCTGTTTAGGAACCGTTGTGAATCGAACATGTCTTTGCACAGAGGGTCACTTCAAATTATGCTTAATTACAGTTACTTTAAGAATTTTTAAAAAGTTTATCAAGATACTCAATATTCATAATACCCCATTTTTAAAATAAGAACCCATCTACTTCAAGATGTTCATGAGATCAAGAGTTCAAGTGAAATGTATATAATGTAATAATGTGTATCGTAAAATGTTTCATTCGCGTTTTTGCTAAAAGAACTTAAAACCCTTTATGTCTATTTTATGTATTGTATGTAGTTAGATAAAACGAGCAGATTTTCATATTATGGCCAGATGTAATAAATTTTATTATTAACTTGAAAAAACAATTTTTTATGTCTGAAATCCATATTCTACGTTGAAAAACTTGAAACGGAATGAAATTCAAATTATTTTTCAGAAACATGGATCATACTTTATAGTTTTTTTAAAAATTGGACTGTTTATTTGGTTTACAGTTGTTTCCTAAAAACAATGGAATAAAAAGAAGACATTGTAGCAATATATTTGATACTGTTACAAAAAAAACAGTTTTACAATGCACACTTATTACAAATAATTAATTTAGTAAAATGGGTCTGTTTTCATTACAAATTGCAATGCAGTGTCTCCATGACCATGTTGGACTTTTTAAAGTTATAACTTGATTCTAAATTTCATAGGACAGTATACATATTTACTATTTAATTGGTCCAAAGTATATGCATTATGCATACCGATAATATCCGTAATTTTCACTTATTCTAAATGAACATTTTCAGAGATTATACGACATTCTGACTCCTAAGAAAGTTTTTATGTGCCAGGATAGAGTTAGTCCTCACCCTAAGTTTAAAAACTATAAATGGTACTATTTCGTTTTCTAAAAACTTGCAGTGAGAACCAGAAAACTGTGGAGTAGGAATACGATATTATTTGAATCCTCAAGTGTATTTGATGTTGTTACAAAGGAACACGTGTTACTGTTTACTTGTTAAATCACTTATTATATAAGTCAAACGTCTGTATAACTTCACAATTGCTGCAGCCTCATGTTCATTGGCCTATTTATAGTCTAAAAGTCGCCTTCCTATTCCAGAGTTTTCTGGTTATCACTGTATTATGATTTTTAGAGTGCCAGGATTCATTTACAATTCTGGAGCCCAGGGAGTTACAGATGAACTGTTTCATATTACAGATTGGTTACCGACAATATTCGCAGGTAGTTTAAGTAGTTCAAGGAGTTCAAGTAGTTCAAGTAGTTCAAGTAGTTCAAGTAGTTCAAGGAGTTCAAGTAGTTCAAGTAGTTCAAGTAGTTCAAGAAGTTCAAGTAATTCAAGTAGTTCAAGTAGTTCCTGATCAAGTAGTGCAAGTAGTTCAAGTAGTTCCTGTTCAAGTAGTTCAAGTAGTTCCTGTTCAAGTAGTTCGCTTATACGTAAAAATTTGTTTATGATTAAGAAGACAAGATTTATTTGGAAAAAAACTACCAATTACAAAATTTTATAAAATCTAATTTTCTGTTTTTGATGATTGACGATTCACGCAATTTAATCAGGATTTATCATAATTATAAGGTTTTCATTTCTATGGATTTTCTGGACAAATTGGATGTTTTCCTAACCCTAAACAGGCTGGGGGGAGGGGAGGGGGGCGTTTGACGCCCCCTCTATTTTTTTTGTTCTTGCACTCTCATTTTTGACACTATCACTGTGAAGTTTTGTAACTTTAATGAAAAGAAATTTCAAGGATTTTTTTGTAATTTTTTTTTTAAATGCACAGGGTAGGTTACAGGGCGGTAAAAAGTCCGGTCTGTGTAAAAAATCTAAAATAGCACATCACATCTATAAAAAACTATAATCTTGAAAAGCCGTTGAAAAATGGATGTAGAAACATTTGTTAAACTTTGATATTTGTTTAAAACAAAAAAAAATATTTTTTACATTTTTTTTGGACAATTTTTAGGCATTTTTTTCGACCCTCCTTAGCACCCAAATTATTAAAGTTATCGGTCTAGTTTTTTTTTCAATGAGCTGGCCTTGAAAAATCGAGCTATGCACATGCATTTCAACCCTATACCTATTCTCTAAGGCCTTTTTCTAGGGGGGGGGACCATCACCCCAGGCTACATCTAGATTTAGACCCCCCAGCCTTTAAAGGGTTAAAAAGAATACATTATGTACGTTAACATATTATTTAGAAATGATTAAATTGAGTTTTCCTTGAAACCCCAGTCCCAATCTGTATCATTATTAGGCGATGCATCCTCATCAGGTTCACTGTACGGAGTATTACTAAACATAATATTATTGATATAATAAAAGGCACTAAACACATAAAGTGGCGGTAAATTGATTTACAACTGAGCCCGTAATTTAAAAGAGTATCGTTAATCGAAACTCCCGGCCCGAGTTTCATTTTTGGGATCTTAACATTTGTGTAAATTTTGATTTAAAAGGTTTTTAAAAAATGGAAAATATGGAAAAACTAAATAAAGTAATATTTCATAACACAAATATTGATATCCACAAAACTGCCTAACCCCATTCATGAAACACGGGTTCTAAAACTGGTTTTCATGACGATACCCTGTCTTAAGTTTTGAGCTCTTTACCCTTTTAACATATGTGTTACAGCGAGTAATATTTCGATGTTTTCTCCAATTATCTCTGAAACATAAAATCGCAATTAAGTATAATTTTTTAGAAAAATAAAGAATATCTCATCAATACTTGACCAGTTCAAGGTTTAAGAAATACTGCTGACAATCGACCATACCATGGAGGTAGTGATCTGGATTCTGTTGGTTCGATTTTGGAATGTTTTATGCCAATATATTAATTTTTTTCAGGCTCCAAACTTGGGAAAGTGTAAGTTAAGGTACTAATGCAAGGAAAGTTAATTGCAGTTGCGTATACTCTGCTTGCATATTGAAATCAGTTCTCTCTGGGCAGACTTGGTAAACAATAATAGATGCATCAGTGTTAATTTAGTATCTGAGGAGGTTAAAAGCATTACAGTTTGATATTTATGATAATTAACATAAAAGTTTCCTATGACCAGAATATTTCATTGATTTTTTATGTGAAAGATGTATCCCATGTTAGGCTTTGACATCCGCCTTGTGTTTACATTACCGCCAAGAGACAGTACACTGCATTACAAAATATGCGTACACCTCTGAAATAACTTTCCTTGCATTAGTACCTTGGTGTAAGTGAAGCATTTGTTTTTAAAATTGTTTATTTTAAACATGGGCGTATTTTTTACTATGCCAAATTCTGACCCAAACAAAACAAATATAGACAAATTTTTTCCTATCCAACCATTTTAAATTTAAAGTGTTAAAATCTTAATTTTAAATTTGTTTCTACCTTGGATTAAGAATATCGACATTTTCAGCCAGCGCTGTCTTGGGAGTAAACGCTCCAAGCTCCCAATCTTTTACTCTAGACAATAATTATAAATTCAGAATAGTAAGATATATTCAATAATTATATATTCAGGATAGCACTATATATTTAATTTTTATTTATATTTAGAAAAGTAATATATATTCAGTATTTACATAGATATATATATAGTTGGTTGAGCTCTCTGGTACCTATTTCATTACCCAATCATCAGGATTTGATGGAGCAGTGGTTAGAGTGTTTGATCCATAATCCAAGGATTCATGGTTCAAGCCCCGCCAACTGCAAAAATCAAAAACTGATGAATTGAGCCATACTGATGAGTCCTAATATGGACGGAACATTGTGTCTATGGATATATTTATATATTACATATATAAAGAATAGCAGGAGATATTCAGTATTTATATTAATGAGATATTTACATTCATTCAATAATTTAATCAAATTCACAGTTTTGTGCGTCCTCACTGTTAGTGCATTCTCTAAAGTGCGTCCCCAATGTTTGTCAGCAATGTGAGTCGCATAATTCGTAAGCTCTCACTTTAAAGATAGAATTCGCACACCAATTTTACTTCTATCTAGAACATTTCTGTTAAAAATAAATAAAATTAAATGATTCGAGATTTGACTGCAGTATTGGTGTTTCAGCCATTTTCTTATTACAGACTCTAAATATAGAAGATTGGTGTCATATTCCAAATCTAATTCGGATTCAACCTAGACCCCCTTTTATTTTTTGCAAACACTCTCTCATATTCGATACAAATGTTTACCTGCTCAGAACAGAACAGAAACTAGGGTTCGGAGATCTAGACTTAGCTCGGGGACCAGTCTTCTCCCTCTTCTTTACCAGGACCTTCTTGGGACCCTCCTGCATCATAATCATCATCATTATCATCATGATTATCATGATTATCATTATTATTATCATTATCATCATCATGATTATCATCATAATCATTATATCATCATTATCATCATTATCATCATTATCATCATTATCATCATTACCATCATTATCATCATTATCATCATTATCATCATTATCATCATTATCATCATTATCATCATTATCATCATTATCATCTATGTTTATATATGTTTATCTATATTCAGCTATGTTTATCTATGCTTATCTATGTTTATCTATGTTTATCTATATTTAACTATGTTTATCTATGTTTAACTATGTTTATCTAAATCAAGTTCTGGATGAGAGTGACTAATAGGATTAATATTAAAATCTGGATGAAAATGACTATTAGGATGAATAATATAAAGATCTGGATGAAAATGACTAATAGGATAAATATAAATATCTGGATGAAAATGACTAATAGGATGAATAATATAAAGATCTGGATGAAATTGACTAATAAGATAAATATTAATATCTGGATGAAAATGACTAATAGGATAAATATTAATATCTGGATGAAAATGACAAATATAATGAATAATATAAAGATTTGGATGAAACTCACTAATAAGATGAATATAAAGATCTGGATGAAAATGACTAATAAGATGAATATAAAGATCTGGATGAAAATGACTAATAGAATGAAAAATATTAAGATCTTGATGAACATGACTAATAGAATAAATATAAATATCTGGATGAAAATGACTAATAGGATGAATAATATAAAGATCTGGATGAAATTGAATAATATTATAAATATTAATATCTGGATGAAAATGACTAATAGGATAAATATTAATATCTGGATAAAAATGACAAATATAATGAATAATATAAAGATTTGGATGAAACTTACTAATAAGATGAGTGATAACAGATCTGGATGAAAATGACTAATAAGATGAATATAAAGATCTGGATGAAAATGACTAATAAGATGAATATAAAGATCTGGATGAAAATGACTTGTAGGATGAATAATATAAAGATCTGGATGAAAATGACTAATATAGGATAAATAGTATAAAGACCTGGATGAAAATGACTAATAGGATGAATAATATAAAGATCTGGATGAAAATGAATAATAGGATGAATAGTATAAAGACCTGGATGAAAATGACTAATAGGGTGAATATAAAGATTTGGATGAAAATGACTAATAGGATGAAAAATATAAAGTTCTGGATAGGACTGCTTTATAACCTTAAAATGACACAATGCTGTGCAAACTATATGTACTAAAAAATGATGAAGAAATACAATCAAGAAAGCAATCAGAAGAAGATGATATCAAAGACGACCTTAAAGTTGTCTCGTTACTGCCACGTTTTGTGAGACACATTGTATCAGATAAAACACATTTTCATGATTACAAGAAAGTTCTTCTATTTGTGACACTGTTTTTTGTTGTAAGAAAACTTCTTGAACTAACTTAATTATGATGTTTTTTCTTACCTTGTTTCCTTTAGGAGCAGGGGATTTGGCCCGGACCGGGGGAACGGACAGATTTTTAGACATTCTATTTTTTTCTTGGTAATTACCAATATGCAAAATATTTTGCAAACTGTCACTGTTTTGAAAATTTGACGTCTCACTTATTTCGATGGTTTTTTCTTGTTTTTGTACAAATTAAGTTCGAGAATTATTTTTGCACTGCTCGCGACCTTTAAGTCTTACTTGCAATTAATTTTGTCACTGTTCACTGAATTTGAATACACATGAGAACCTTGCAAAATTCTCATCTAACTATGTAAGGACAAAAGAAAAATCATATTTTTTTTTTTAGTTTTTATGCTTTATGCTAAACAAACCCTTGGAATTGAAAGAGAGTGGCAGAGCAGGAATAAAAGTTTAAGTTCAGTTAAAAGTTTTCAAGTTTAAAAGGTGTCAATTTTTATATTATATTGCATTGACAATTTCTTAAAGTATATATGTTGATACATATATGATATAAGTATAATTATAGAATTTCATTAGTTTCTGTGATTTCAAAGACGACCTACACCGTTGCTGCTTTACATCATGAATTTGAATGTTTGAAATATAAAATTGAACAACTTTAATCTGTTTTCGTATTTTGACAATAATAAGTGCCATGGTTTATCAATACAATAAAGACGACTTATTAAATTAAGTTTTGATTGTTAACAAGTGTTTTTCAAATTACAAGTTTACAGGTAATCAAAAAGCAGCTTTTTTAATAAACAGCTAGCTTCTTTTGACTTCGATGTTTATGTGTATCCATGCTGTTTAACAGCTTCATATAAATCAAAATTGAAATCTAAAGTAGTCATCATTGCATATAAAAAATCGCCTACTACTGTATTAATATAAAAAAGTAAAAATATTAATTTTCTTAAAAGTTTTATTTTTCAAATTTGTACGTCTATCTCTGAGATGAGTGTAGATATATTAAAGAAAGTGCAACGTTGGCAAAATTCAAATACTTTCAATTCACTTCAAAACTATATACTTGCCTTTCCTGCATCCTCAGTCATAAAAGCGGAGGGAGGGGGGGGGAGTTTTTTTCCTAATTTTTTAATATTGAAACGTTACGGCAAACATTTCTAAATTATGAATGTTTTGATAGAATATACTAACAGAATGTAAGGGATTGTGAGATATTCTTAAACTGTGTATTTAATTACAAACAAAATATGTGTTTGTTAGACGACTTAATAAATTTTTATCAATGAATGTGGATTTGCTGAAACTCTAGTATGTATTACATAGCCTGCTTACAAAGAGTCTTATCAATTTTAAAGAAAGGATCAAATTTGAAGTGTTGCAACGCCTTGGGCTTTGATTTGACTGCTCTTTACATGTAGATTTTAGCGCCATAAAACACATGTTATTAGGTTTGATTTTTAGGAAGTAATTGGCAAAATTATCATCGATTTTTGCTTGAGAGCCATGAAACCTTTTAATAACATATCTACCTGTCTAACTAGCTGTCTACCTCCCTACCTTCCTATCTGTCCAGTGTCTAGCTAGCTGTATACCTGTCTACTTCCCTTCCTTCGTAGCTGTCCCGTGTCTAGCTAGCTGTATACCTGTCTAACAGTCTACTTCGCTACCTTCCTATCTGTCCAGTGTGTAGCTAGCTGTCTACCTATCTAACTGTCTACTTCCCTACCTTCCTATCTGTCCAGTGTCTAGCTAGCTGTCTACCTGTCTATCTGTCTACTTCCCTACCTTCTAACTGTCCAGTGTCTAGCTAGCTGTCTACCTGTCTAACTGTCTACTTCCATTCCTTCCTAGCTGTCTACCTGTCTATCTAACTTCCTGTTTAATGGTCTTTATAAACGTCTTTCTGTCTACTTGTCTACTTTCCTATCTTCCTTGCTATCTAGTGTCTTCCATGTCTTCCTGTTTAATGCGCTTCCTTTATACACGTTTTTATGTCTATACCTGTCTACCTAACCTATCTACCCGTCTTCCTCTCTACCTACCTTTACTTACCTACCTCTACCTAACCTATCTACTTGTCTTCCTCTCTACCTACCTTTACTAATCTACCTCTATCTGCCCATCTACCCGTCTTCCTCTCTACCTACCTTTAATTATCTACCTCTATCTGCCTATCTACCCGTCTTCCTCTCTACCTACCTTTACTTATCTACCTCTATCTGCCTATCTACCCGTCTTCCTCTCTACCTACCTTTACTTATCTACCTCTATCTGCCTATCTACCTCTATCTTTCTATGTTCCTGACTGCAGTCTACATGTTTACTTATATATTTGTCAACCCATCTATTTGTCTACCTATTTACCTGTCTTCCTTCTACTAGCCTACCTGTCTACCTTCTTACATGTATATCTATCTTTTTGTCTACCTATCTATCTGTTTACCTATCTTCCTGTCTACCTATCTAATAACCTATCTATTTTTCTGGCTACCTATCTACCTATTTACCTGTCTATCTATCTTTTTGTCTACCTATCCACTTGTTTACCTATTTACCTGTCTACCTATCTACTAGCCTACCTATCTTCCTTGTATGCCGAGTCCATTAGCGCCTGATCCAATCAGGGTTCAGTCATGTGTTTGTTGTCTATTCTGAACCAATAGAAATAGTATGGCGGTAACATCTTCTATCTATCTCATTATCCAATTAGAGTTATAAATCATTCAATCGGCGCTTTCCCAGAGGTTATGATAATATTCCAATCTAATTGAAAATCTAACGGATATAAAAAATAACTCGGGATTATAATCTATTCAAAATGAAAAAACTTTTTCCAATCAAATTTTAATCATTCCTTAATCTTCTAATGTGCAGGCAAACATGTTTTTTCCCTAAAAAACTTTTTTTATACATTTCTTTCAGTTATAGTTCGTTCTTTCAATATTATCGTCCTGATGATGTTGATTATCATCTATATCTTATCTTTTATGCACCTATCTCTTTTATGCACCTATCTCTTTTATGCACCTTACTTTTATGCACCTATCTTTTATGCACATATCTTTTATGCAACTATCTTTTATGCACATGTCTTTTATGCAACTATCTTTTATGCACCTATCTTTTATGCACCTGTCTTTTATGTCCTATCTTTTATGCGCCTATCTTTTATGTCCTATCTTTTATGTCTTATACAAACATGTGAGTCATTAATTACAATGAGTCATAAATTACATTGCAAAACAATATTCAATTTTTTAAAACGGAAAAAGATTTTACAAATCCTTTCAAAAATAGTTTTGTTAATATCTTTATGCAACGTAAAAAATTTGTTTTCACGCACCTCTGACCGTTTAGTAAAAGTAAATTCAACCTAAAGTCTGACCGCATCAACCTTGGTGCACCGGCTAGTCCTATTGAGTTGTACCGGAAAGGTTGACCCGGCTCGGAAATTCAAATGTACTACGGCCCTACACCTTTGACCTTTTATTAAAAGTAAATTCAACCTAAAGTCTGACCGCATCAACCTTGGTGCACCGGCTAGTCCTATTGAGTTGTACCGGAAAGGTTGACCCGGCTTGGAAATTCAAATGTACTACGGCTACCCATGAAAGTGAACTCGTTTAGTATGTAAAACTAAAATTGGTTTTGTATCTCAGATTCTTGTGAAGCCATTACTAACACAATTGCAAGAAAATGCGGTAATATATTCACTGGGCATATTGCTCTTACAGCTTCAGCAGCTTTTTATAGAAGAAACAATCAGGATCCAAAGAACAAAGTGAGAGCGGCTCTTGTTAGCTGTGTTACTGGATCTTCAGCTGTTGTACTATAGACTTGAAAAGAACTCAGTAGTAAAAATCTAAGATTGAGTGGAATAACAAAGCATGGTTGCATTAAAATGATATTTACATTATAACGATACAAACAATTAGTGTTGGACCAACTAACATTGATCTAAATACACATAACATTTGGATGAGGCAAATATACTTTTCGACCCTTCTAATCAGATACTTTGTGAGAACTGATGAGCTGATGGGGATGCCGTTTCACTCCTTTCTCCAGCATCGATCCTCCCTATAGCTCCACCCTTTAAATGGTACCTACTTGATATCTACCAGATAAGAAAGGCTACAATACCCTTGCGGGTCTAGCCTGTTATATACTCAGGCTGCAAACATACTAAGGGTTCAATATCATCGTAAGCTTGGGATTAGATTGTTTGTCTTTATTCTTGGATTGGATTTTTAGGCTTTTTTAGGCTTTATTTCTCCACTTGGGAGCAATGAACTGTACGGTCCTATATACAAGTTGAGAACCCTTGGTTGGGTTCACAGTACCTGATTCTACAGACATATGTTTACCAAAGATTTTCTCCTGAATAAAATTATTAAATGTATATTCCATTTTCTGAAAAATTAGTATTTTGGCTCAAACTATGATTTTTCTAAATTATGAAAATTAGGACAATTTAAAAAGACAAAAATATGTTTAAATTGCTTGAATTATAAATATTCCTGTAGATTTTAGCATGGAGCACAACGTTTTATTAAATATAATATTAAATATTAAATATTAATAAATAAAGAGCATATATTTATAGCAAAGAACAAAAACTAATATACATTTAAATATGTCAATTGTATTTCAAGGAAAGAATTTAATAATAAAAGGAACTGATAACTTAAAGTTTGAAATATCAAAGGTCTAAGAAATCGGGTTGTAAACATATAGGCATTCAAAAATAAGAGATTCTTGTAAAAACTCAATTACTTTAGTTTGAAAAAAGGGAAGGCGGGCACACACCCTCCTTTTAAATATCGTTGAAAATAATTATTTTGCTTTTACAAAAATCATATTTTGCCTAAATTTGGTTTTAAATTAAAGTGTGCAAAAGGTTAATAATTTTTTTTTAAATGAGTTAAATTTTATTAAAGAGCTAATTATTTGAAATTTTCGGGGTGGCATGCTAGGGCGTGGACAGGATGGGGTGGGGAGTGGCATGCTAGGGCGTGGACAGGATGGGGTGGGGAGTGGCATGCTAGGGCGTGGACAGGATGGGGTAGGGGGTGGCTGAGAGATTATTTGATAAGTATAAACTATGGTCCTGTCCTGAAGGGGGCCTTCCGCACTTACGTTTTTAAGATACATAATGCCATGTTTGATGGATTTTCAATGACTTATAACTCCAAGGTCAAAATCAGCACAACATAATTATTTTATGCGACATAATTACATAGTTATATATACCATGTAGAAAAAGAAAGAACATTTTTGTTCGTCTCGAAAGCTTTTCAATTAAAGAATCCACTTCTGTATGCCGAGTCCATTAGCGCCTGATCCA